CTGGGTATATATCCCCCAAAATGAAAGGCAGAGTCTCAGATATTTGTACACCCATCTCATAGCCATATTATTCACATAGTCAAAAGACAAAAGCAATCCAAGTGTCCATCAATGGATGAATGGATAAATAAAGTGTGATATATACATATAATGAATAGACTTAAAAAGAAGAAAATTTGGACACATGCTGCAACATAGATGAACCTTGAGGGCATTATGCTAAGTATAAGACAGTCACCAAAAGACATATATTGTGTAATTCCGCTTATATGATAAGTACATTGTGTAATAAAATCCATAGAGACCAAAAATAAAATGGTAATTGCTAGGGGTAGTTACTGGAGAATGGAAAATTATTTAATGGTCATAAAATTTTAGTTTTGCAAGATGAAAAAAAATTCTGGAGATTAGTTGTATAATAGTGTAAATATACTTACCACTACTGAATTGTATACTTAAAATAGTTGAGATGGTAAATACTATGTTGTATGTATTTTACCACAACTTAAAACACAATTTTATCGAAACAGCAATAAAACATATAAAAGTACATTCAGTCACCAGTCTTCTGAAGTAGAAACAAGGCCTGACATTAGTGGATAGGGCAATATAGGTTTTAGATTACTTTCCTTGCTTAAACCACACCTATAGTTCACCATCTGAAAATCACAGATCGTGAATTACAAATTATATTCAAAGGTATAGGAAAACTTAAACTTTTTTGGAGCAGCTATGTGCATTCCTTTAGACTTTTATGACACCCTGCCCCAGTCTTTTGTAGTTGTCTGGCTGCCACATAAATTAGATGGTTTGGGACCAACTTCTTCACACATTCAACTTAGTTTTATAGAAATGACTACCTTTATTTTGGCATTCATATTTCCTCGGTTTGTGGATTTCATTTAGTTACATAATCACAACAAAAAGTACCATTGGTATAAAATACATTTGGGGATGAATAGAACTAGCTCTTGGTAAGCATATAATTCAATCGGTGGGAGTAGAAATATTGAGAGTATTAAGAGAACAACAGCCTAGGTGGCTTAGTCGGTTAAGCGTCCAACTTTGGCTGAAGTCATGATCTCACAGTTTGTGATTTCAAGCCCCGCATCGGGCTTTATGCTGACAGCTTAGAGCTTGGAGCCTGCTTTGGATTCTGTGTCTCCTCCTTCTGCTCCTCCCTGCTTGGTCGCTCGCTCTCTTTCTCTCTCTCTCAAAAATAAACATAAAAAAATTTTTTTTAATGAAAAAGAACAGCCTATCAGCCATGAGCACTCACTATGTTCTAGAGACCAATCACTATGTTTTCTAGAGCGAATGGAAGTGTATTGGTTTAATCTGGAGGATTAATTTACCATATTTCTAATATTTTTCATAGATGAGAACGTAGTTAAATCAATCTTGTTTTTGAAGTACTAACCATAAATATGACTTTGAAGGACTCTAGGGTAATCTGTCATGTAGTGTATCATATAATATAATTTCTTCCTCACCTATTACCAGCCTATAATTGTTGGTAAACAATTCCATATGGAACATCTTTTATGTTTTAAGTTTGTCATAACTTGGTTATAACCTTAGAATAAATTTCTAATAATTGAGAAGTTGCCTAGTCAAAAGTTGTGAGATTTTTGGATGGTTCTCTGAGGCACATAAAATTGTTCATTATTTTCTCTCGAAACCCAGTATTGGGGACAGCCCAGTGCTCAACAGTATGCATTGAGTCATAAGTAGATATATGTTGAATACACACCGTGCTATTTTCCTTTAGATCCTAGCATGTCATCTTATTTTAGATAGACATGTTGACTCACACACTCTGTTCATTTCCTCTTTTATAATTGCTTTGGATGGTCTCTTACTTATGCAGTGCTATTTGCTTCTCTCAGCCCCTTTCCTTTCTCACTCTTTCCAACTTTTATCTATGTGTTCTATGAAACACATATGTTATCTATGTGTTCTATGAAATGTTCTGTAACAGTTCTCATCTACCCAGCTTTCTCTTTTCCAACTCCTTTTTTGAAACTGAGTTAATCAGCAGTGCTAAGTGCTAAGAAAATAACTGAGCATAACTGAGCCCCACCTTCATGGAACTTATACTCCCATGTTAAATGTATTGTGCCATGTGTTTGTCTTGTTTCATCAGCTAGGTTGTAGGTAAATGTGTTCGGCTCATAAAAAGTATTCATCATTTGTCCAACCATTCTAGATGGACTAAAGAGAAGATTGTGCCAAGGAGTATGGATATTAATACAAGGATGTTCTTTTACTAATATCACATGGCTGGGTTATGGATTATCAGCATAAGAAGGGACCTTAAAAGGTTCATAATCCAAAAGCCCATCAGTATTTTAATATTAATAGATTGTGCTAAATGCCAGGCATTGTGCCAAGGACTAGGGGAATGGAACAAGATTGATAAAGTCTCTGTATTAATAGAACTAATGCCTAGTAATAAAGCCTTCCATAACTTAGGGTTTGTTGATTACAGAATACCATGTAATTATAATAGAAAACCTGTATTAAGCATGTATTTGTGACAGACATGAAATAAGCTTTTTGTGTTTATCAGTGCATTAAGGTCACACTACAATTCTATGCAATAGACACAGCTGTTTTTGTTTTACATATGAGGAAAATGGGGTAACTTGCACAGGATTGACAGTCTACATTGCAAACCCAGGTCTGTCTAATTCCACAGCCTGTGCTTTCATTTTTTTTTATTAAGTTGATTTATTTATTTTGAGAGAGAGAGAAAGCTCCGGGGGAGTGGGGGCTATGGCAAAGAGAGAGAGGGAGACAGAGAATCCCAAGCAGGCTCTGCACTGTCAACACGGAGCCCAATGTGGGGCTTGATCTTATGAACCATGAGATCATGACCTGAGCCAAAGTTAGATGCTTAACCGACTAAGCCACCCAGATGCCCCATACATGAATTTTAACCAGTATATCATGACTTCTGACTCCAAGTCCAGTACTCTTTTTTTTACTTTTTTGCCTGCCTTTACATCTCCATCAAAGTGTTGTCTAAAATGTGCTTTTAATGTCTTCAATAATGTAGTACTTACTTTATCCCTAAAGTAGCTATCTAATTCTTGGATATGTTTGTTAGAAAGATCTAGTTTATGGTATACTTAAAAAACAAATTGTGTCTCTCTAGAATTGATATGTTCTTTGGATCACACCAAACTACATCAGCCTTTCAGATATTTAGAGCAAGCTATCACCTTTTCTTCTCCAGAACATTTTCTCCACTCAGATTCCATTATTTCAAATGTCTTTACTGTCCAGTCACTGTGCACAAGTTTTAGATTGCTTGGAGTTTTCTTACTGTGAACTCTGCAATTGCTGCATTATCTCCAAATGTAGAGAAAAGACAACAACACTCTCCAACTAAAGTGATAGAAGGAGGCTCACCATTTCCCACTCCCTTTTTCTTAGAGACCCTCCTTTTATTTAGCAATTGTTTTAGTAGAAACATCTGATACAACTCCTTTTATACTGTACAGGCCTTCTAATTCTGGACTCAAATGTCAGAAATCAATCCATGTAGGTTTATCTCTTTTAATTTGCAAGGGTTTCAGAGAGTAGGTAGGAATAGGAAGATTGATAGGTTATGGAAAGGTTTGGAAAGGATTTAGGAACTTTTGGCAGAGAATCTTAAAGGGAAGAAGGGCAAACCAGAGGAATAGTTGGGGTGTTTAGTAGCTTGAAGGAGGGAGGACACAGGCCTCATCTAACTTGGTTTTGTGCAACAGCCCTTTTGGAAGCCAGTGGTCACAACAAACGGAGGAGAAATAAGAGCTTCTGTGCAAGAGGACAGCCACACAACAACTGGAAACTGGTTATATACAGGGGAATTGATTAAACAATAAATTAGGGATAAGGAGACTTCTCACTGCTGTTGAAGGAAGTTACAAATAAGGAAAGAAATGAAACTAGAAGGAATCCTATAGTATTGGAAGGGAAATGGAGACATTTATGTGAACTCCTAATTTTTAGTATATATAGTAAGAGAAATATAGATATAAATGTGTGTTGTATATATGTGTATATGTGTACATAATGCAGCTCTGTCTGCTAAGAGGGCCCAGAAGTAGAAAAACCCAGTGGCCATCTCTGAAATCCAGAATTTGTTTTCTAAATACTATTCTCTGCTAAAAGAAACCAGGGCTTCTTGGAGAAATGACTGATTCTAAAACCAGAGCAGAGAGAGTACAAGATGAGCCTAGAACATCTTGTTGTACTGGAAAGTAATGACTTAAAGAATGATGAGATCTTGTTAGAAGGTTATGGAAGCCAGTTTGAAATCTGGGACAATTTTAACAATATAAATAATGATAGTAGTGGATAATAGCCCACTGAATAAGATAGGAAGCCATGAGTCTGTGCTGATACGAATAAATTGAAAGTTTTGTGAAGAATGGGATATTTATGTCATCTCAAAGAATCTTCCCACAAAAATGCCTATTAAGTACAATGGGAAAAAGTAACTTTTCAGTTGAGAAGCTTTGGCTGACACCACCTTAATTAAGTAGTCAAAGTGGACATCATCAGTAATGGGATCATTTGGTTCATGTGCCACCTGATAGGTTGCATTGGCAAAGAACACAGCATCACTTCTGTGATATTCCTGCCAAAGATGCATGACCTGAAACTAATCCTGAGGAAATATCAGACAAAACAAATTCAGAATGAGTGACAGTCTGGCCTACAATATCAAGGACATGAGAAAGGCAAGAAAGTTAAAAAAAGACAAGACATCTAAAGACAGTCATGATTCTGAACTTAATCATGTTTGGCAAAACTCAAATGGGAACCAAAGATTAAAAGGTAGTAATTTGTAAATGTTAATTTGATGATACTGATGCAGGTATTGTAGTTAATTGCACAGTACACAGTAGGACTTACTAAAGTAATGATGGATGGATGGTGGGGCATCATGTCTATAACTTACTCTTAAAAGTGGTTTAAGAGGGAGAAAGTTCCTTTTACTGTGTTTATACCTTTCTGGTAAGCTTTGTGCTTTTTTTTTTTTTTTTTTTTTCTCCAATTTAAAAGAAAAGAACAAAAATTTAGCTTGGTACCTGAATGTGGAGAGCTTGGAATGTCAGGATTAAAAAATGGGTTTTGTGTTCCATGCATCAGGAAACTTTTATCAGTCTTGAACAGTGGAATGTAATGATGAAAGTGCTCTTAGTATAGTAGTTAATCATCAATCTGTGGGTAGATGGGATTAAAGAGAGACAAAGGCAGGGATGTCAGTTGGGAAATTGCTTAGGTGTTCATCCGTAGGAGCCTGAACTGAGAATGGTGGTGGTTGAGGGTGGGAAGAAAGTGGTGGATCTGAAGCACATCCTAAGGTTATCTTTTGGGATTTGTTTACTCTTAAAATGGAAGTGACAGAAAGGAAATAAATGTTACTTAGTTACAAATAGGCTCAAATTCTGGACCAGAATAATTAATGTTAATATTCTTGAACTTATTTGAAAATAATTTGATGAAACATTACTGTTTTAATATAATACTTATTCTGTAAATAAGTAGTACTAGTAAGTACATGAATTATTGAGAGTTTTTATACTATTTTATCCTTTGCTCTCCTGTATTTGTGTTCACAGTGGCTATTTTGTGGTAATGATTGGGTAAATAACCTAACTTCTTCATGCATATGTTAAGTACTTTACATCCATGAATTCTTTTAAAGGTTAAAGTTTATAAGGAATATATTATGTACATTTAAAAAGTACCTTCCTGGGGCGCCTGGGTGGCGCAGTCGGTTAAGCGTCCGACTTCAGCCAGGTCACGATCTCGCGGTCCGTGAGTTCGAGCCCCGCGTCAGACTCTGGGCTGATGGCTCAGAGCCTGGAGCCTGTTTCCGATTCTGTGTCTCCCTCTCTCTCTGCCCCTCCCCCCGTTCATGCTCTGTCTCTCTCTGTCCCAAAAATAAATAAACGTTGGAAAAAAAAAAAAAAGTACCTTCCTCCTTCATCAGATATAACACATATTTATTGTAGAAATCAAAATATAAGTGAGCTAAAAGAAAAACTATTTTAATACTGTTACCAAAGATAAATCATTCTTTACTCCTTAGCATTCAAAAATATGGAAACTAAAAATCAGAGATTAACTTGATCCAGCATCCCAGTACTAAGTAGTGAAGCAGAATTGGAACCCAAATCTGTTTGATTTTAACAGATCTTTAACAGTTCTTCCATTTTGGTTATCTTCCTCAATTGTGTAAATGGGTACTTGCTAAGTATCTCCTGATTGGCTAGGAGGATAATGAGTTTTTATTG